TATCTTAATCTTGAATCACTTTTTTTAGTGTTACTCAGTAGTAAGACCGAATGATTCATATAGTCACAAAAGCAAGTGTTGCTTTGTATGATGTGAATCATGTGAACCACCAAGATTGGAGCACCAACCCTCCACTGAGCAGACAACCTGCTCTACCTGACTTTGTGTGTCTGGTGTTTGTTGATGGGCATTAAGTGAACGATGGGTTTATCAGAGCTTTTCCACAGAAAACCACATCTTGTTGTTACAGGAAATGACAAATGTCAGACAAATGTCATTTGAACAAATGTCCAAAGCTGAGGCTGGGAGCCTCAGAAGCTCAGGTAAACTATTCAACTCTGTGATTCAAATGTAATACTGATAAGTAAGCTTAATCATGTACCTCTGTTGTGTCTTGGCTTTACTTAACTTTACTTTACTTGACTTTACTCAATGCTCATGTCTGAATGCAAGCATGCTTAAAATAACTATTTCACAGGTACAGCAGCTTTAGTAAGTAATTCAGCCTCGGGGGAAGGGTTCACCTTTCAGCACAACAATGACCACAAGGCAAGACACTGGAACATCTTCAGGATGAGTCTCTCTGTTGTTCAGAGCCACAGACACAAAGCCCAGACTTGAAGGTGGCAGATTCCATCCAATCTGATGGAACATGAGAGGATCTGAGGTGCAAAGCTTGAAGGGATTAAACCACGAACACTGGAAGCTATAATTGCTGCCAGAGGGGCTTCTAAATATACTCAATTAAGTGTCTGAATAGATTTATGTTTGTGGTTTATAGAGAATTTGCAAAAAGTAAGGCGGTGCTGTAAACTCACAGCAAGAAGGTTCCTGGTTCAAATCCCAATTTGGAAGTGGTCTTTCTGTGTGGAGTTTGTATGTTCTTCCCATATCTGCGGGGATTTTTTCTGAGAACTCTGTCAACAATCCAAAGACATGCAGATTGGGTTTAGGTTAACTGGATACTCGAAATTGTGGTGTGGGGTGTGTGAATGGTTGTTTGTCTCTATATGTTGCTACCTGCTACCCTCAGAGGATATGCGGTATAGATGATGGATGGATGTTTTCACTTGATCAAAGGGGATTACTGTGTTTAATGGCAATTTTATCCAATTACAATTAATAATATAATATTTTAAATATACAGTATATATACATGATTACTTTTAATGTTTGAATACTTCCAGGGGTATTAGTTCTTTCTAAATGGAATGGTATACCTATTGCTGGTGTTTGTCATACACTTACTGTATGTACATTTATAATTTTGACCCGATGATGGCACTGTAAGTTCGAGGATCCAAACCTTGATCTACCACATTTTTCTTTGTATCATCATCCCATAGTGGGCCTAATAAAGGATGATCTAATCCTATGTTAAAGATCAGAGAGGTCCGCAGGTTTCTTAGTGTAAAGTTCACACATAGAAGAAAATGAATTTAATCCAGTGTTTTAGTCTGGATCAGTGGCAGTGAGAAAGAGCTGGGAACAATTGAAATCTCTGATGAAACAATTTTTACAAGAAATTATTAGAGCTAACAAATAAATATATAAGACTTCAAAGGCTTTTGTTTTGCAATTACAGCTCACCTGCTCTGAGTGAATGCAAAGGCTGAGGTGCAGACACAGTGAACTGTGTCACAGCAGAGCTAAAGAAGTACATTATTATGTGTGCGTGATTAAAGCAGCTGCCACAAATAGTTGGGAAACAAACATCATAAAAGACGCAGGTTTTGGAGTAATGACTGCACATCAATGCAGCACTGACTTTATTCTCAAACACATTATAAGAATCTAAAAATAAAAAAATCTTCATGGTCGTTGTTGCCCAGAGTTCCTTCATCTGCCAAAAAAATAAAACCACAGTAATACAAAGAGATACAGAGCGAGAGATATGTCTCTCATCAATCATCATCATTAACACTAAAACAAAACTTAAATTGATTAAAAAACAACATTAAAACACAGCCAACCCAGCAATAGTTATAGTTTTTTTAAATAGCCGCTCAGCACAGAGGAACAGAGATGACAAGAGACCATGCAAACCCAATCAACCGCTCGCTCTCATTAACACTTCACACACTCACACATGCAGGTTGGATCCAGATCAATATTATCAACAGACATATGCCAGGAGGAGGAGCTGTCATTGTACAAAGGAGTATTTCTGTTTCTTTTCTTTTAACAAAGAATTCTTTGACATTTCATTATTTAAAAACACTAAAATACATTGGATTTCTATCCTGGCACATCTGAGCCTCACTGCAGGAGAACAATGAACATTTCTTTTAAAAGCTACATAATTCAGTCATGACTGTGTTCAGCACTGCCTAAGATTTTTTTTTTGTCTCTATAGACATTTTATTGGACCCAAGCCGAAGTCTGATATTCATATAATTAGAGACCGAGTGGGGACACACAATTTGTAAGAATCTGTTGTATTGGGTTATCAACCCTTCAATTGGGTACTGTGCTCCTCTGGCTTTGGTCGTAGAAGGACACAGCAATTATAAGGTGAAAGGGAAAAACAGCTCACAAAATTATGTTACAGCAATTTACACTTGCTCTTCAGAGCCTTTTGGAAATGATGTAAACACCATTTTTTACAAAATGAGAAAGTAGATTTGAAATTTTAAGGGCTAACTGGAAATTGGACAGAAGTATATACATTTATCAGCATGGTTCACAGCACAGTACCTTCCCACCTCTTCCCGCTGGTGTACACATTTTCTTTTCTGCAGAGAAAAGATCTGATGATTATCTCGTCAGTTTGTAACACTGTCCTTGTCCCTTAAAGGAGAATTAACACACAGAAATGTTCCATTATTCAACTGCTTTTTTTTTGGAGTGTTGACTTCAGGTTTGGTTCAGGTTCAGGTTCAGGTGGTCTCTGGGTTGGTTGAGCCCCTCTTGGGTTAAGATCGGACGAGGCTGGCTTGTGTTTGTGTCGAGGTGAGGCTGGAGGTTTCCGTGGTGTGGCAGTTCAAGGGCTTGGTGGAGGTTTATCCTGAGATTAGCTCAGATACAGAGTTTTGTCCCTCTGAACAGCTCTGATGTGGAGAGGAGGAACACAGAATGAGGTTAAAGATGGAAAAAGAACAGTCAGCGACAGTGACCAATACAGTGGATGTTTGACAGTAGAGGGGCTGATATTAATGTTTATGGCCGGAATGCAAACAACAGGGCCGGGCCTATAAACACAAATGGATGACTGAATCATAGGTCAGTCTGTGAAAGGATTCTAAAAATGAACTTGTATGAGACAGTATAATGGAGTGGTAGTTAAAAAAATTATGGAATACATTCGCCATTTTTCTCCTTTTTATATTCCCCTTTTAAATTCCACACTCCTGTAATCCCCTTTCCCTCCTCTTTTTACATATTCTTAGCAAAGAAGTAAAGAACAAACATAAAAAGAGAGGACACAGTGAGAGTTTCCTCATTGGCTGTTGCTCTTTCAAAATTGAGCTGGCGCCAACACATTCTATTG